GCAGCTTTGATCTGGAATTGAGCGTTCCATCCCCATGCTGTGTAGAGCAAAGACAATCTCAGGAATCCTTGGAATCTGGTTTATGCTCACATCGTTGTCTAGGTTTCCATATTTCCATCGGTTGAAAAAATATATATGTCTTGGCAGAGATACTGTACTATGCATTAGAGTTGTAAGCCAGCCCGGCGTCCATAGCAAAGCGGGATACTATTTTCTGAGGATGCTGAAGAAAGCTCCCCCAAGGGACACCTTTTAAGTCAAGGTTAGGACTTCCTTTCCCTCTAGAACGGCTCTGCAGGATGTGTCGGCTTTGTATTTTTGGGGTCCCGCAGCCACAGATGGATCCAGGGCCCTGGGCCTGGGCCTTGTATCTTTGTAAGCTCGGAGCTGATCCCAAAGGGACACGGGTGAGTGCAGGACCATCCTTTTTGCTGCGTGACTTCGGTGTTCTTTATCTCTGGGCTGCCACGCTGTCTGCCTCCAGCATGCAAAGCCCCTGCTCTTTCAGGACTCCCGCTGGCCTCGCCCCCACTCACGAGGCAAAGACTCCAGCTGCATGCTTTCCCAGTGTCCCTTGCAGCTGAAGGCAGGCCCAGAAACTGGCAAAGCCAATCAGATGCGTCCCAAGTCTTTTTAACTTAGAAGCCTTTGCGCAGAGGTGTGCGCCTCGGAGATGCGCCTGTGCAGAGGGCGTGGCCATGGGCGCGTCCCTTTGGATGCAGGGCCACTGTGCTCCAGGGACGCTCAGGGGCCCGGAACCAAGGTGTGGGCGGTGCCCAGTGCTGCCTGTACCCTGTGTGGTCTGCAGGGGGCCCCTCCCGCGGCCTGAGGTTGGCTGCTCCTGTCTGCGTGGCCTGCAATCGTGGGTCTTCAGTTTCCTAACATCCTCGTGAGTCCTCTTAGGCTGCTGCCCGCCAGCGCCAGGTTCGGAAGCTTGCAAACAAGAGCGCTGACCCATGTGGCTGTCAGCTCACACGCCCCCTCCTAGAGGGTGCCAACCACCAGCCAGCTGAGGGCGGGGCTTGGATAAGGGGTGAGCTGAGCGAGAGGGTGAGACAACGACGTTGTCACGGTTGCTCCGTGGGTGGAGCCATCCCCAAGCTCTGCGCATGCCCTGGGGCCTCCCCCGAGCATCAGGAGTGTGGGCCATCCAGTTCACCTGGGGAACAAGAGAGACATAATTGAGCGAACAAACGATTAACTGAGGACGACTGACTTTAGGAGATTTCCGCTGTGCTGCAGGCAGGTTCCCAGTAAGGCTGTCTGCGCGGGCACGTGGAGGGCCAGGGAAACAGCGATGATGGTGGTGATGGCTCGGGGAGAAGGTAACGACGTGGGGAGCCCTTGAAGAGCCGAGGGAACTGTCCCGCACACAGGAGTTGGGTCGGCGGGGTGGGGAGCGGCGTCTCGGGCCGTAGTTCTGGGAGAAAGGGGCTCCTACTGCACAGCGCCCACTGCATTGGAACCCACTGGTCCGTTCCACAGCGTCAGAGACCTCTGAGGGGGTCTGGTCTCGAACTCTCTTGCAAACACAGCCGCCCCGTCGAGCTGGGTTGTGTAGCGAGGGCAGGGCAGTGCCCTGGCCCTTCCCCACCCTCCCCTGCACTTGCCTTCTGTGTGGCGCCGACTGCTGCTCTGAATCCGCCGTTCAGGGCGGGCACTTCAGGCGTCCGTGCCCGCAGCTCTGGGAGGCACCTTGCCCGTGCAACCCCGTCCTCCTGCTGGGCTGACCCTGGTCATGGATGGGACGCTTCAGAGCACAAGGGGCCAGGCGCTGGGGTGGGGCAGGGTGGGGGGGAGCCGCTCGGCCACTTTCCGAGTGCTCCGTGGGAGCATGCCTCAGCCCCTCCTCCCGCCCCCCCCCCCCCCGCTTGCAGCTCGGAGTGACGCCCGGGTTCACCAACGGCCAGCCCCGCGGGTGGGAAGTCCCGGTGAACGGGAGGAGCGTCCCAGCCTCCGTCAGGCCCAGCACGGACGGGTGCAGGGCACGCACGGAAGCTCAGTGCGGGCACAGCGCCCCCAAAGACGGCAGACTAGGCCGAGCTCCGGGGCCCGAGGGCCACGTGTCCGATCGCCGCAGAGAAGGGTGCCAGGTGACGTGAACGTGGAAGCCACGCGGCCCCGGGACACTGTGTGCCCCCCCATCTGCTCTCCCCTGCGGCACACAGAGCAGCCCGCGAACGTCTGTCCACGGGTTCCCAGCGTGGCCGCTGAAGCCACGAGAGCCGCGGCCACACACGCCTCCACGCCCGGGAGCCGTGGGGGTGCGGTCTCCCGGCTGCCCGTGGAGAGCTTGCCCCCCACTCCTCCCGGGGCCTCCCTGCGGCCGTGGCAGCAGGGGCCGGCTGCTCTGAACGTCACCCCACGTCCACCTCGTGGGGAGCGGGCTGGGCCACGTGGGGAGCCACTGGAGGAAGACGGAAGCCCGCAGGCTGCGCCCCAGACAACGCGGGGGCCCCAGGCAGGCAGGGAGGGGGAGCCCTCTCCATGCTCCTGTCCGACCTGAGCGGGAGGGCCCCGGTAGCCCACGGAACGACGGACCCCGCCCCCTGCAGTGACGACCGCGGCGTGGGTGACAGCACCCCGCACAGTGCAGGCCCAGGCAGATGCGGTGCGTGTGCGCCGAACCGGAGTCTGCGTCACGGAGCGGAAGTCGCTGTCCACGGCCCCCGGGTGCTGGGACTGCACGGCCTGCAGACCACGCCGGGGGTCCCCGAGCCCCAAGCCCCAGCCCGACCCCAGCACGGACGGCAGCCTTTCATAACACCCGGCTGCCGCGCCCGCCCCACGGCCATCAGTCCCCAAGGTGGCGGCAGCCGCCTGGGAAGGCGCACTTGCACGGGCCCCCGTGCTCGTGAGAGAACGCGCCGTTTCCACTCCGGGGGTGGGGGAGGGACCCCACGGGCCCGCGCAGGACGAAGGAAGCACGCCCACCACGTCGTCTAATATCAAAATAGAGCAATTTATTCAAGACACGGAATATGATGTGTGGATTCTCTCTGGGAATGAATGAGCTACGACACACGAGGTGGTTCTTTGCGTCCGCGTGTGTGCGCGCGGGGCGTGAGGGGAACGGAACGGGACCTGCGTGGCCGGGGCGGCGTCGGAGGCGGGGACGGGCGAGGACACCTGGCCGGCGCGTCTGACACAGACAATAAAAACCGCAGGAGCCAGGACTCAACGCCTCGGTGAGCGGCGGGAGGGGCATCGTTGCCCTGCACACGGAACACGACTCCAAAAAAAAAGGGGGTGGGGAGAGGCGTGGAACGGGTTTCACATGAGGAACGTAACCGGGACGAAGCAGACCCTTGCGTGGGGCAAAGTGCACTTCTCGCCGCTCCGGGACCTGGGACGGACGGGGGGTCGAGGCCCTGGGGGCGCGCGGGTCGCCTCCCCATGGCCGCCCGCCGCCGGGTGCAGGGCGCGCTCCAGCCGAACCCACGGCGCTGGGAGGCTCGGCCCGCGGCGTCTGCTCCCCGCGTCCAGCGTCTGTTTGGTCGCGTGAGCGCCGGGCACGCAGCGGAGGCGCCGGACACGAGGGCCGTCCCAGTACCCGCGGGCGGCCGCGGGACACAGGCGAGCTGGCTTTCTGGAGACGAGCGTCCCTGGCGCGGCAGGCGGTCCGTGCGCCCGGAACAGGGTCGGCCCGAGTGGCGCGGGCGCGTTCTCCCCCTCGGTCCCCCTGGGGCCAGGCCGGGCTGTCCTCCGGTGGCCAGGCGGTGCGAAAGCTGGGGACGTGGGCCAACATCTGGAGCGCGTGCGCTCGGGGGCCTCCTGCCCTCGGCCCCGCCAGGCCACACGTCTGCAAGGCCCTGGCCCCGGCCTTCACGTGAGGATTGTCCGGTCCTGGCCGCCCCCGCAGCGTGCCGTCCACGGCGGACCGCCGACAGCGGATGCCCCGCGCAGGGGAGCACGTCTCTATCTGGGGAGAGGCCGGGGCGCCGTTCACCCGCTCCTCCGCAGACTGGGTCCCGAACCCACGGTTTCCCGGGGCACGAAATGATCGCCGCAGCCGCAGGGGCGCCTCCAGCTGCCCTTCCAGGTGGGCGTGGCGAGCGCATGGAACCAGGACCTTCGCCGCGAGCCGGGACACGGCCTGCGCACACGTCCGCAGGGTGGGCTCCAGTCCCATCGGGCTAGGGCTCCAGGAACGCGCGTGTGCAAGGGGAGCCCGCAGACGGCTGGTCCCGGCACACCCCACACCGCCAGGCACGCGGACCCACCCCACCATGGGATCTTGCGTGGACAGACGCCGCCCTCTGAGCGACATCCCGTCCGCAGGCTGGGGCGGAGGCCTCTGCGCCCTGCGCCCGGACAGGCCCCCTTCCGGCCCCTTGCTGCGGCCGCAGGACACCGCGGGTCCTTCCCCCACGGCTCGGTGCGGGGCTCTTGACCGGACCGAGGTCCCCTGACCCAAGGAAAGGAACCTCCCGTGGGAACAAAGCCACGTTTAATTGTTTAAAAACAGTAAAAAGATCGTTAGGAGGAGGAAAACCCCGTCGGCTCTCTGCAGGGAAAGGGCAGACGGAGACAGCGGAGGTGAGCGGCGATGTTGTCTCTTCTTCACCCTCAGGATGGAAGGCCCTTCCTTCCCCGCGTGTTTGTCTCTGTCCAGCCAGGCGGACCCCGCAGCCGCCCGTCACCCGTGGAACGAGGTGCCGCCAGCACAGGCCACGGAGCCCAGCTGCGCGCCTGGATGGCTCACTTAGCATCATTTGGTCTGGGGTGTGCCCCTCGGGGCCAGAGGGCAGTGGTCTTCATGTCCCTCCCGCAGCACGAAGGTGGACCGGCTGGGAGACGCCACCCTGTCCCCCAGCCGGGGGCGGGGACCAGTCCCTCCAGCCAGACGGCCCCACCGCTGCCCACGGGGCCTGCCTCCCGCCCAGCGCCTTCCCCACGCCGCCAGCCACGCCGCCGAAGGCAAGATGGGACTCACCCCCTCGCACGCTGCCTGCATCTCCCTAGAATATTTTTAAAATATGAAACCACACAAAGCTATGTCTGATGGCCATTTCAGGATTTTAAAATCGTTTTAACATAAAAATATTTTTTTTTCCAAAAATACTCCAGGCTCTTTCTCTTATAAGTCATTTTTTTTTCTCCTGTAAAAAGTCCCCCTGCCCTGCCTTCTTCCTCGAGTAAAGCACTTGTTTCGCGCGCTGGGAGTGCCCGTGAGACCTCAGATCTGCAGTGACCGTGATAAGGGGCGGAGAGACCGGGAGAGGGGGGAAGGAGGGAGGGAGGGGGCCACCGAGCTGTCTGGCAAAGACTGTCGTCATGTCTGCACATCGAGACCCCACTGGAAGGCGGAGGGAAGGGGAACCGAGCGAAACCCGCCCCGGCGTGGAGGGCGGGACTCCCGCCGGCACTAAGGCCCCGGGACCGAGGCGGCGCTGGGAGCCAGGCCGGGGCAGGACCACGAAGTCGCGCACGTCACCGCCGCAGACTGGTCTTGGGACGTCCTTCTCCACGATAGCAGCACGGCATCCACTTGCTCGGGGGAAACGGCAGAAGCCCCACAGGAGACCTTCTCCATCCCTTCCAGGTTGTTTTTTTCTTTTTTTCCCCTCCCGTTTCGGTTTTTATCACAGCATTTTTTTTTCCTTCTGGGTTTTTTTTTTTTTTGGCACAGCTTTCCGCCCCCCTCCTGCCTCGGCCATCAGCCTGTCCGGTGGGAACCAGACCGCGCCCCACGCGGCTGGTGGCTGCACGCCCCAGGGGGGCCCGAGCTGCCCCTGGGACAGGTGTGTGTGTGTGTGTGTCCAACGTCTGGATGAGGACTACGGGAAAACAGAGGCTCCGTGGCCAGGGATGAGCTGACTTCAAGGTCCACGCCAGCGCGCCTCGGCCGCGCGGGGCTGAGGCCGACAGGGTCGAGTCCGAAGGCTGCGGCCACCCCCCCACGCCGTCCACCGGTCCGCTGGCGTTCTCGCCCGCTCTCCGTGGCAGCACGTCCCGGCTACTTCCGCAGATCCAACACGCACACCTGAGGGGAAGGAGAAGGCCCGTGGGGTCCCCGGAGACTATGCAAAGATGGCTTCAGGGCTCAGGCCGGCAGGTCACACGGCCCACGGACCAAGTCAGACCCACCGACTGTGCTTTACAGATAAAGTTTCATCAGCACAGTCACGCACGTGCACAGCAGCTCTGACTACAGGCTAAAGGTGGAGCATCTGACCGACCCACCCTGCGTAAATAGTACAGTCGGGTCAGGGGCACTGCTGGGAAGTGAGGTGACGGCAGCAGCCACTGGGGTCACAGCGCCCCCTAGTGGCGGGGCCGATGAGAACCCAAGAGCGAACACACGGCCTTTGGGAACCTGAGGGGGCTTCCCCGACACTCGGCCAGCCCTCCCACAGCCCCCGCGCCAGCTGCACCGCGTCCCCCCTTTCCGCCCCGCGCCCTCCACCTCCAGCAAACCATGGGTACTGCTTACAGAGCCGTCGGACGCACTGGCGCCCACTTTGTCCCCGCGGGCGTTCCAGCACACCTCGAAGATGCCGCCAGTGCCTCGGTAGCTGTGCACCAGGCTTCCACTCTGCAAAGCAAAGCAAACGTGTCGTGCACAGTGAGGTGGGCGTGCAGAGCACAGGGAGCCCGGCCGAGAGGAAGGGCCCCCGTCCGCCCCCAACACGCCGTCACGCAGTTCCCAAAGATGCAGGAGGGAAAAGGACTTCCACTCCACACTGCCGGCTGCGGACACGGGGCCCTCGAGCGTCCTGCCCTGAGTGGGGAGCTGCCCGCTGAGCGCACACTCTCCGCTCCTGGCCAAAGGCTGACGGCGGTGAGGGCCGCGAGGTGGCAGGAACAGGGGGGACAAAACCAACAACAGCATGTCTTCTCCTATTCACATGGGGTATCGCCTCGCTGGGGGTTAGCCTGAGCTTCGTTTCCAAGAGGCTTCGGAGTTAGGAACGAGGCGAGGAACAACTGACTGCGCTGTTGACGGCAGGTGGGGCCTCGTGTCGCTTCTGCGCGACGTTGCTGCAGGACTCCCACCACCACCAGTTCCAGAGAGCTGTGCGCCTGCTTCCCGGGGTTCGTGTTTCCCCAGGGGGGCTGGGGGGGGCCTGCTGGCTTGGCGACGGCTGGTACCGGGTCGGGCCTGCCACTGCCTTTCTGTGTCCTCAGGGACGGAGTTTAGTTCGTGGGGGGCGGACCCGGGGAAGGCCCGACTGTCCACACCTCCTCCTGCTCCCCGGCAGTTACCACGGCTCCTGCACCACCCACCCTGGCCACCAGGGGGCGTGCCCTGAAGGCAGCCCACCTGACGGGGCATCGAGAGAGGGCGCTGGAGGAAGAGGGGCAAGGGCAGCCCTTCCACCCACCCGAGATCACACAGAACGGGTCGCCGGCTGTTTGCAGCAGCCCCGACCACCTCTCCCTCCATCGGGGGCTGCATCCTCTCAAACGCCGTCCCGACAGGAGAATGGCCCGACACCGACTCCCCCTTTGCTACCCGGGCGTAAAAGAGGGACTCCTGCCTCAGCCCCCACCGCCCCCGCCCCCACCACCGCCGCCGCTGCTCGGAGCCCGGTCAGCGAGGCGCCCGGGGATTTACCTGTGTGTTCCAGATGTGCACGCACTTGTCGAAGGAGCCGCTGGCCAGGTACTTGCCGTCGGGGCTGAAGGCGACGCTGTAGACGGGCTCCTGGTGCTTGGTGAGCGTGTGCACGCACACGCCGCGCTCCACGTCCCACAGCCGCACCGTGGAGTCGAAGGACGCGCTGGGGAGGCGGGAGGAGGCGTCACCGAGGAATGCGGCGGTTGCTCCCGCCTCCCCGAGAGACGAAGGGGCACGCCCGGGTCTCCCTTCACTGCTCCCGTGTCTCCGGGGACAACGGGCAGACCGGCTGTGCCCCGTCTACTTCGTGACTCGGCGCACTGACAGCAAATCCCTCCTCTCTCCCTCTCTTTCTCGGGCCAGCACTGGGGAGACGCCAATATCACGTTCAAGGGTTTCTGCGTTTCCCACAGACACGGACCCCATGCGTGTCTGGGGAATGTTTGCTGCGTGTTCTAAAACGCTCCCGCGATCTGAAACAGCATTGCTGTCACCGACCACAGTGTTCGGAGACACGGCAAGTTCACCGAATACAGGTATCCGCGCCCTGGGAATTACAATGCAATCACGGGCAAGTAGGCAGCCGCGTTCCTGAGCGCGGCAAGTTCTAGCCCTCTCCCCACGCCAGGGCGAGGACCTGCCATGAAGCTGGGGCCTGGCCTTCTTTCCCCCAGCGCGGACCTGCTGGGCGCTGCTCCGTCCTGTCCGTCCTGTCCACACCTGCTGCCCGCAAGGACAAGGAAGGGATTGGGTGTCTCCCGACACAAAAGCACCTTCCAAGGCATTTACGTGGATTTTCAGATCCCCAGCGCACGCTGACCTCTGCTTTCCTTCCTCTGAGGCAGGGAGAACCTTCACGAAACAGCGTGCCGGCAGCCCAGACACAAGGCCCACCCTCCTACCGGCCTGGTGCGGGTACAGGGTGCTGAGCTTTACTCGGGCGTCACCCGACAGCCCCACCGGGTGGGGTCCTTCCAAAGGGGGCGACTCTTTGTCCAGTGTGGAAGGGCATGAACACGTTCACGACACACCTCGGCGACCATGTCCTTCCCCTGGATACAAGTCATGGCTCGTGGCCAGGTCTCTGCCCCTTCTGGTCAAAGCGGCACTTCCTGGCCGTAACGTGCACAGAACTACTTTTCTGTCCCCTCTGCTACAGCCACATGCGCGGCCACAGCGGGCGAGGCTGCCCTCAGCAGCCGCATGCGCCGGGCCCGGGGCCGCCCCGCTCACCTGGCCAGCATGATGTTGGCGCCGGGGTTGCTGGTGGCCGGCCCGGTGGGGCTCCACTTGATGGTGTAGATCTCCTTGCTGTGGGCCTGCAGGTCGTGCACGCACGCGTCCTGCTTCATGCTCCAGATCTGCAGGGCACACGGGGGACCGCTCCAGCAAACACGGCTTCCCGCCGAGAGGGGCCGCCCAGGCAGAGGGGCGGCCGGCATCCTGCGGGCGCCTGCTGGCGGGGGCTCGGGGGTGGGGGGAGGCTCTCAGCACGCCCCTCAGCTCATCGGCAGTGGCTCGCCAGATGACGGCGCGCCCTGGCGTGGCCGCGGGGCAAACGTGCAGCGGCCGGCAGCGCTGGTGACCAAGTTCTCGGCCGGAGCGGCAGCGAGCTTCCCACCGGCACGGACGGCACAGGCTTGTCCAGGATGCAGCGGCCCGCCCTCCCCCATCCCCTTACCTTCAGCGTCATGTCGTCCGAACAGGACGCCAGCAACATTCCGGAAGGGTCCCACTTGATCGCGTTGACCTCATTCTGAAAGACAGCGGAGGGTTTTAAAAAGAAGCAAAGGCCCACACACAGGGATCTACCGACCGGCACAGACAGCTGGGGTGTATTTTACTGTCGAATAAAAATACCTTTTTAAAAAAAGGATTTTATTTATTTATTTTTAGAGAGGGAAGGGAGGGAAAAAGAGAGAGAGAGAGAGAAACATCAATGCGTGGTTGCTGGGGGCCGTGGTCTGCAACCCAGGCATGGGCCCTGACTGGGAATCGAACCTGCGATGCCTGGTTTGCAGCCTGAGCTCAATCCACTGAGCTACGCCAGCCAGGGCGAATAAAAATACTTTTAAAAGGGGGGGGGGGGGAAGGGGGAAAGAAAAAACCAGCCTGTGAGTAGGTACCAAAACCGTCCAGCAGGGGGCAGGAGCGCACCATCATCTCTGCAGAGTCTACCTGCAGTTACCTTGGGTATATAAGGACCACCACTGCTGGACCCGCTCATGTTCCTTCTTTTCTGACTCTGCTTTTCTCACTCACATAAAAACACGGCCGTACAACACGCAAACCAGCCACCGTCCTCCGCCCTGGTCCAAGAGGACCAGGCCACAACGAGGGAGCCAATGAATGTCCACACAGTGAATGCAGGACACAAAACCAATAGCACTGCAGCTCTGAAACCGACCTTGGCCATCACTTCTAATGACTCGGTGCCTCTAAATGTGCGGAGCGCAGCTGTGTCTAGTGGGGACTGGAGGGAGCAGGGGGACGTCCAGAGATAAGGCCTCCGATGTGTAACACGGGCTACTCAGGCCACAGGCACACACAGGACAACTAGTCCTGGGGGGAGTGGAGGGGGTGGAGCCCGAAACCTGGAGCAAACAGCCCGCTCAGCCAATCGCTGGTGCACAGCGCGGCGGGCAGTGGGCAGTTATGGCGGGCGGGCAGGCGGGGTGTGCTGTGGGGGCGGGGCAGGGGGGCAGGCAGAAAGGAGAAGGCTGCAGGCCGCCGTCCGGGCGCAGCACCCCAGTCACCCCGAGACCAGGTCCTGCAGGAGGAGGAAAGCACACCCATGGGCCTTGGAGAAGGGGCCCATGTTCACGACGGGGCCACGAGGGTGGAAGGTGGGGCCGGCGAGCGAGGAGAAAAGAAGACAGAGCCTTCTCGCAGGGTCCCGTGTGCCCAGGAGAGGCGCACGGATCCCCCGCTCCCTGGGTCTGCGGTCTCGCGGCTGGCTGCGGACACGGGGCTCGGAAGGCTAGGCAGCGGGGAAGGGGTGGGGCCCCGTCTGTGTTCCGGGTGGTACCAGGGGCACGGGCCCGAACACAGGGGAGGAAGGCAGCTGGGAGCCCGGGCTCGAGGCCCCTGGGCGAGTGGGGGCATGGGGAAGGGCTGGGACTGACGGTGGTGTGAGTGTGTGAGTGTGAGTGTGCAGGCCCACGGGCACCAGAACCTGGACCCAGCAGGACACCCCGGATCCGGCCCGACAACATGTGGACAGGGGACAGCCTCAGCCAGGACACGGCCGCTGGGGTGGCTCCGGCTGCCACTGGACAGAGAGGGGCCCAGGAAGGCGGGCGGGCAGCAAGTCCTTCCCGAGAGTGGCCTTCTCTCTCTCTCTCTCCGTCTCTCTGTCTCTCTCTGCAACGCCAGCCAAGCCTCCACTCCCAGAAAGCACCCAGGAACAGCTCGCAGGTCCTGGGGGAAACCCTCAAAGGCACCGGGCTCCCGCCTCGTGCAGAAGGCTGAGCTGCCAACACACCCGTCCCAGAGCCGAGTGGCCGCACGGCAGCAGCCAAGCTGTGCGTGGGACAGCCAGAGGTCCCCAAGGCTGCGTCGTCATCTTTTCCTGGCGTGACCCCTGCCCCTTCCCCACCCAGCCCCGCAGGCCCCCGCAGAGACTTCCAGGGAAAGCACAGGACGTTAACAGGACAGTACATGGCTTCCTCTCAGACGCGGGGTGCCGTGGGGACAGGGCTGGAAAAGGGGGAACAGGCGGGGGCTGGTGATGACGGAACTCACGCCTGTTCTACGCGTGACACGCGGTGCTGCGAGTCTGGAAGGTGGGGACGAGGCCGGTGTGAGGCGCTGGAGCATAGCAGGACCCCCAGGAGTGCTGAGGTTTGGAGGAGGTGGGTCTCAGACATGACAGGGGTCTGCTCTAGAAGGGCCTCGAGGGGCCCGGGTGCCACACCCGGGAAGGGCTGAGAAGTCAGCCGGCGCGTGAACCCCCTGCACTGGGCGCTGACGTCGTCCCCCACCAAACGGAGGAAGACGGGCTATTCCCGGGACCGGCCGTGAGGTCCCCCAGCCTTGTTTCCACACTCCCCGCCACTGTTAACCCGTCCGTGGAGGTCTTCAGTCCAGACACCAACCTCTCAGCTCTTGCACTTCCACTGCACTCCTGGTTAACAACACAGCGACATCCCTTCCTGCGCCGACGTCCCCCATCTGTGCACTCATCACAAACACCCTTTCCTTTACGTCCTCACGCATGGGCCCAAGGGCTCCTCTGAGCGTTTCCTGCAAACCCCACCACCCGGCTCCCCTTGGGGTTTGCGTTTTCTCCACGGCCTCGCCGGCACTGGACCGATCTGACCACCTGAGCCAGCAGTGGCGGGTGGGTGGGCCAGAGTCTGTTACCTTTTTTTTTTTTTGTGAAATAAAAGTCACATTTTCATTTTCCCCAATTAATGTGATTGATTTGGATGTTTTGAGGATGTCGGCTGTCTCCTGATACTGGCTTCTAGTGGGGAGAGGCCAGGGGTGCTGCTGAACGCCTCCCAATGCATGAGACAGCCCCACAGCAAAGGGTTATTTGGCCAAAATGTCAGCAGTACCAAGAAACATCACAAACCACTTCTAACACATTCGATTAGTCACAGCACCTTCTCCACACACTGCACACACCTTTTTTTTTTCATTTCGGTTGCGCTTTTACCCTTCTTGAAATAATAAAGCATAACACGCCAAAGACGTCGTGTATTTTCTTCCACCGCCAACATTAAAACGGCTACACAAAAATTCACTGACTTTGGTAACTTTTTTAAATGCATGCTGATATGACAGCTGTCACCATGCGACCTCACACAACTGTCTTGAATGAAGTTAAAGACGACGAAGCGCAACCGGACCCACTGGACGGGGAACAGCAGAGGGACTGTCTGGCCAGCCCAACACCACAGGCCAGGCTGCAGAGGCTGCCGGAGGGGCGGCTGGTACTCACAGCACCGTGTGACCCCAGGCACCCGGGGGGGCCGGCTGCTCCCGGCCCCCAGCGCACGTGCACGGGTCCGAGCCCCGCCCCGGGCCCGGCCCTCGGCACTCACGGTGTGTCCTTGGAAGGTCTTCACGGGGCGGTCGCAGCTGAGCCGGCACACGTGGATGCACATGTCGGTGCTGCAGGAGGCGAAGGTGGTGTTGTTCTGCCAGTCCACGTCGAGGGCGGGGGCTGCGGGCGGGACACACGCGGGGCGTCAGCGCAGACCGGGGTGCCAGCGCTGACCGGGGCGCACTGAGCTCTCGGGCAGTTCACAGCCACTAAAGGCTGTAAGCCTTATCTCGGCCCTGGCTGGTGTGGCTCCGTGGACTGAGCACCGGACTGTGAACCAAAGGGTCGCCGGTTCGAGTCCCAGTCAGGGCACATGCCTGGGTTTCGGGCCAGGTCCCCAGTAGGGGGTGCACAAGAGGCAACCACACACTGCTGTTTCTCTCCCTCTCTTTCCCCCTCCCGCCCTTCCCTCCTTCCTAGGAGGAAGATGCATGAAAAAGACCGACTGTCCCCAGCGTGAACACAGCCCCCTCCCGTGAGAGACGCCCCCCCGGCCCATTCGGAGGGGTGAGCAGTCTGGAGCGACACCCCTGTGGTGCTGGCGTCTTCACGTCACGGGACGGAAACCGAAGACTCACCGGAGTGAAACGGGAACTGCTGCTTGGCTTCCCCCGTGTGGGCGTCCCAGATGATGGTGGTCTGCGCACGGCACACAAACACAAGCAGTCAGTCCCTGCCCTCCCGCCAGGTTCCCCCGGAAACACCGAGTGGGCTCGGAACAGCAGTGGGCCACCCCTCCCCGGGACCCAGCGAGCGCGTGGACCACACGGGGCATTTTGTTCTGCAGGGCGCCCTCTAGGGGAGAGAACGCGTTACAGCTGCTCTCAGGGCCACGTTTCGGCGGCCCCCAGTCCGGCCGAAGGGGGGGGACTGTTTCTACGTGTGACTGACACCCGTCCGTCACTGAGACCCACGGCATTCTGCTCCAAGTCTGTGGAACCTGCTGTGTTTTACATGTCGCCGTCTCGACGGATACGCATGTGGGTGGCGCTGCCACAGACACGGCAGCCGCCACGGACCGCTGGAAAACCACCAGAACGGCGGGCATCCCCCTCCCTGCTGCAGGCGGGACGACCCGGAATGCAGCCTCCCTGTCCGTGCTCCGGGCGCTGCCCAGACCAGGCGGGCGTGTCTGCACACTCCCCACCCTGCCCACCCCGGCCCCCTGGAACTGGGCAGACAAGGCAGAGCGGGGCTGCCGCGCCGCCCTGCAGGGGGGGTGGGGGGGGCACGCTGAGGTGCATAAACGCGGGGCGAACGGTTGTTTCCCCAGAAAACAAGGGGGCCCCTGAGCTCTCCTGAGCCAGGCACAGCTCAGTGGGTGACGTCTGGGTCAATGGGTACTTTCAGCTGCGTAGGGACCGGTCAGTATACTTCCCGGCCAGTGACAACAGAGCTCCCGTTTCAGGGAGTGGTTATACGCTGGGCCGACCACAGACGACTCCGCACACAACAGGGCGCATCTCTGCCTTTCGGGGCACTCTAGGCCGGGCAACGCCTTCTGTTCGCTTCTTGGGTGGGTCCCACACGTGTCTCAATGTACTAAGGAACGGATCTGACGCTGCAGGGGATTTATAAACTCAAGTCCGGTGCGATCCTACACTACAGTCAGCCACCACACCCTTTTCTGGGTGTTTACCCATTCAACAGGCCCGGACCAAAGACAGCACGAATCACACAAGAGCTTTTAAGAATCTGAGATACATCATCAACACGTAGCCCCACCGGGTCAAGTGCGCCCTGAAGGTGAATGCCAGCGCCCCTGCAAATCACGTTTCCTTCCTGAGCATTAGTTTCTAGAACATTCACATCCCGCTGCTGCAGTTAACCGATAAAGGCAGACGGTGTAATAAGGGGCCAAGACTAACGGAATTCCAGGCGTGCACTTTCACCCACCAAGTGGCTCATCACCGGATGCTCGGAATCGACAGCCACACAGAAAAGCAGAAACAAACAGAACAAGCAGCCCTGGGTGCCCAGGACGTGAGGGCTGCAGGAACTCTCCGGAATGCTGGGCCCGATCCCACCCTCGTCCGCCCCGCACCAGCGTGCCCCTCGGTGGGTTGGCGGGCTCCCTGTCCCCTGGCACCCACATTCTCCGCGCCTGTCTCCTCTCCCAGAGCACGGAAGTGCCCGTTCGAGGTCACTGGCCGCTCGCACCCATCATCTCAGTGACTCCCCGGGCAGCACCGACGCCCGGCCACGCACACGGCAGAGCGCTGGGTGCGTGCGATCCAGACCGCAGCCCTCGGGGACGGCTCCACGGCCCTTCCCCGACAGCCTCCCGGGAGGCGCCTCCGCGGCGTCTCAGCTGTGGGGCTGCCCAGTGTGGGCGCACGCTTTACTGCCGTAAGAGAGTCAGAGAGACCCAGACGCAGGCTTCCCCGACCTAGCGGGCTCCACGGCGGTGTGGGGCCCAGCAAGCACACTGGCGCCGAGGGCCCGGTGCTGAGCATTTCCGACCCCGCGGGCTGGCACTGACCTGCGCACCTCAAGCGCTGGGGGCGCTTTGCACAAAGGTCGGCAGGGCGGTGGGAGGTAACGAGACACGGCGTGCTGTCAATCATGAACAGCAGAACCAACACGCTCCAGGCAAGTCGCTCTGGTTTCTTAAGCAGCAGCAGAAAGTCTCCGAGTTCAGAGAAACCGTGGCGTTCCCCGGAGACTCAACACCCATGAGCACCCACAGACCGAAGAGGTGTTCCCAGGTGACACTCACTTTGTCCACGCCGGCGCTCAAAATGTAGTTCCCCTTCTTGTTCCACTTCAGGGCGAAGATGGGCCCCTTGTGCTGCCCTAGGGTGCTGGCCAGGTTCCCTGCAGTGGGCGATGACAAGCACGGTGAGCGCCGAGTTGCTGGGCGTCCACTCCCTGGCCCCCCGCCCCAGCCCCTCTGCCGCACCCCGGCCCCAGGGGGCGGGCGGCTCACCGTCCTCCGTCCATATCCTCGCGAAGCCGTCGTAGGAGCCTGTGGCCAACAGCGTCCCCTCGCTCTGCGGGCCAGAAAGGAGCCAGCGACACAGCTCAGCAGGGGCGGCGCTGACCAGGCGGAGAGACACGCTCTTCCCCCTGCCCCCCCCGGGCGGGAATATCCTCCCACCCATCCTCGGTCCCTAGTTACGAGACTCATCAAGCCCATCCCGTACACCTCGTAAATTAAAACGCAAGGCGTTACGACCACGGAGACCTGGGAGCAAGCAAAACACGCCGCCGCCCCCATTCGCCGCTCTGCGCCGTAACTAAGACGGCCACACGGAAAGTCCCAACGGGACTGTGGAGCCTCCCCTGAGCCCCCCACGACGCGTGTGCGTCCAAAAGAGAAGCGAGCGTGCGGTGAGATGAAGGAGCACGCACGGACGCTGCGAAGAGTGGGGTGGTCGCCGGAAGGAAGGAAGGAAGGAAGAGAGCGTGGTGGGTCCTCAGCACGCACGGCTGAACCACCGCCGTGCCCAGCCGGCTGTCCTCACCCGCGCTGGACTCGAGGGGCCCCCGGACACCCACCAGCTGTCTGCCCAGCGCACTTACGTTCCAGTCCAGCGAGGTCACATCCTTGTTGCTGGGGACGTCGTGGCCGCCCTCCCGGATGCAGTGCCGCAGCACCAGCTGCGTGGACGCCCCGTTGCTGTTCTCGTTCAGGTTCCAGATGCGCGCCGTTGAGTCCCCGGACCTGCGGGGTGCGGCCCGCCCCCCGCTCAGCCTCTGGCCCCCCCTCCACCAGGTGCGTGCTCTATTGTGTTCTATTGTCCCCCCCTGTGCGGCCTGTCTCAGGGCCTGCGGCCTACGGGCAGAGGCCAGCTCATGCTTCCAGGCCACGGTGTGCTCTGGCACGGGGCACGGGGACAGACCCCGGGGGACGGGCCTGCCATCAGTCTGATCCCATGCACGGCACTGTCCCCCCCACCCCGCCCACCGCCCGAGTCCTCGCTGCACAGTCACGTCCGAGGCTGGTATTGGCCCCCAGCATGGGGGCATCTCCACGGTTTGGTCGCAGCTGGAAACACCCACAAGGGGCAGAACGGGGCGCCCCAGGCCCCCCCCCCACACAGGAGAGAGGGAGCGCGGGCTCCGGGAGGCGGGCCCCCAGCCCGACGTGCTTACCCGGAGGCCAGCAGGTCGCTGACGGGGTTCCAGGCACAGATGAAGACCTCAGACTCGTGGCCCCGGAGCACCGTGGCTTTGCTGGGCGGGATCTCCACGTCCCCGTCTATTTCCATCGGTTTGGAGTGGTTATCTGGGGGCGGGAACAGGGGCAGACCCGTGGTCGGCTGGGCAGCTGGGTGTTACGAACAGCGACCCTGCATCTGGGGCGTCACCGCCTTCCGGTGGGTGCGGCTCTCCCGCGGCTGCTGCAGCCCCGCAGACACGCTCCCTTACACAGTGAGTGCGGGCAGGGGCACGGCCGGTCTGCAGGGGGGACTCCTCAAAACAGCTGCTTCTCGTGCTAGTTTTTATTTGTTGTATCACTGCCCACGCTTAACAACTGTCCACCTGCGCTGCCCCACCCCCGCCCCGTGGGTGATGTTTATTCCCCCTTCGTCAGAGCAACGGAAGTAGTTATGCACTGTCTCCAAGGAGGGGCGGGCCGCCGCCTAACCACCCCCAGGACCAGAGGGGGCCCAGGCGGCGACAGCCACCTCGGCCACCAGCACAACATGAGGCTCCCGTGCCCGCAGCGGGATGAGGCCTTTCACCTGGGAGCCCCTTTCTCAGGCGTCGTGTGCACACAGGCGCACACTCACATGCACACACACACCAGGTGCACCACACACACACCCCCACGGGCACAACACACACACACACAGCAGACGCGCACATTTGCATGATATATGTGTGCGCATGCCACACACACGGGCATGTGTGCACCCACAGGTGACACACGTGCATTTGCACATGTATGCGCGCGCACACACACACACACACGGCACTCAGACCCGAGTCCGTCTCTCTGGATTTACGAGCAGCATGCGACGGGGCAGACGGGTTCTCTGGGCAAACACCCGGGCTCTCCGACCCATCTGCCCGGTGCCTTGGGGCCACCCCCTCCCGGGGACAAAGCTCGCGGCGGGGTTTGCCAAGAGCAAGCACCACAGCGCCCGCTCTCTGGGCCTGGCGTCCGCTCCGCCACCAGGAGCTCGGCTGTGAGGCCAGGACTCGGTGCAGAGCCCTCCCCGCGGAAGGCTGTGTGATGGGCCGGGGCCTCCGCGGCAGGACCCGGAACGTGCAGGGTGATCCCAGGGTGCGTCTCCCTGCCACACGCAGCGAGTTCTCGAGTGGCGTCCCTTCCTAAGACTGGGGGTGGGGCTCGAGGCCAGGATGTCGTGCCTGAAGCTCCAATGAAAGACGAGGAGGCTGAAGCTCCTTCTGGCCGAGGAGGTGGCAGCATGAGGAGGCGACCTGGAAGCACCGTGCAAAGGGCGGGTGCCGGAATCCCACGCCAGCGAGAAGGCACGCCAGGCCCCGGGCCCGCACTCACTTAGGGCGTGGGCTCCGTTCTCGTCCCCGTTGACCGTGGCCTCTCCGTTCTTTGGTGGGTTGGGCTGGGAAACACCTGCAGGCGTCGCTGTGGCTGCTGTGGCTGCTGTGGCCGCCGCTGCCGCCGCCGCCGCCGCGCTGGCCTGCTGCTGAGCGAGCTTCTCCCGGAAAGCCTGCTGCCGCGTCTGCACCACGTCGGGCATCACCGCGTCGATCAGGGACAGGGACTCTATGGGACGGCCGTCAAAGACGGTGCCATCCTGCGGACAGAGCCGGGGCACGGCCGTCAGCCTGCGGCTCCCGGCGGCACGGCACTTCCGCACTGCCGGCGGCCGGGCACGGAGGGGCGGGCGCGCGGGAGCCCCAGGCGGGGCCGGGGGCGTGTGCGGGGGGCGGCGTGGGAGATGCGTCAGTGCACGACGGGTGATGCATGACGGTCCTCCGCGGGGGACCCCGCGATGTGGGGGACTGGGGACGCACAGATGCTCACTCGCTGCTGTAAACCTGGCCCCACTTCCCATTGGGCCCCGGGTACAAAGAGGGAGGGGCTACGAGCGAACCCACGCCGGGGGCCCGGCGTCTCCGCCCACCAGGGCGCGCGCACGCACGCACGCACCTCGTTGATGCTGATCTCGGCCTCCACATACTGCAGCCCCTTCTGCAGGATGGAGATGAGGGCGGCGGGCGGCACGAGCGTCCCGTTGATGTTGGACTGGCTGATGTGGCTCTCGATCCCGAACGTGAACGCCGAGTGGGAAAAACCTGCGGCCGGACAGACAAGGCGGGCGGTGAGGCCCGGGCGGCAGGCGGACGGCGCGGCCGCAGGACACCCGGCTTCGGGGTGCAGCCGTCTCAAGGTCATTAATGGCACACAGAGGGCAGAGCCCACCCCGGCTCCATGCTCCCCACACAGGCCGTGCACGCTGGGTGTTCTCCGGCGCCCCCACCCGTCCTCCGGAAGCTCCGTGCGTGAGCGTCCTGGTGCCCGGGGGCCTGGGCCGCGGGCAGCTGAAAACAGAGGGGCTGCACAGTGCCGGGTACGGGCATCGCACGGCCCAGCGGCCGAGGAAAACGAGGCTGCCCCGCGCCTCTCGGTGTGGCCTGCGCGCGTCTTACTGAAAGAAAAGCTCGGGGGTGCTGCTCCGCCACCCCCGGAGCCCGCGCGCACCTGCACCGATCCCCTGCAGCACGGCAAGCTGCTGATGCAGGCCACGCCTAGCCGTTCCCAGGGCCCGCGCACGGCGGGGATGCACACGCACGCTGGGGGGACGGTGAGTCGCGTCCCCGCCCGGTCCCCGTGTGTATACACAACGCCTGTTTCTGAAACGGAGACAGCCGGAGTGGGGCAGGGGAGGAGGAGCTGAGGGGGGGGTGGGGAGGCGACGCAGGAGGCCCACCGGCAGTGATGGATAGGGAACCTGCAATGCTGTCGCTCAAGGAGCGTGAGGGGGACCCCACAGCTGGAGGTCTGGCCCGAGCGCAAGTCCTCTGCGAACAGGCAGCCCACCCGGCTGGGGGCGCGCCCCCCACCCTGGGGCCTGGGCACAGCCAGGGGTGCACTGGGGCTTGCCCTCCTCTTGGGCGGGGCCCGGGCACTCCCACGGGGGGGGGGGGCTCTGACCCCTCTCACTTTCCGATCGGGCAAAGGGGAGGGGAATGAGCAGCTCTGGGGGCGGCACAGACCAGGGCGACCCCACGGGGCAGGACCCTTCCAGTCTTTCTCGGCACTGCTGGAGCGGCGTGGCACCCCGGGGAGCCCCACCGCCAAGGGGCCTTTCCTACAAGCATGTTCCCATGGGCCCCGGGTCACCCTCCCTGCCGCTGGGCTGCCTGGGGCCCTGCCTCCCCACCCCCGGCCACGTGACCACGTGACCAGACCACCACCTCGGTCAGCCAAACGGGGGCAGCAAACACCCGCCTCCGGGAGATGCAACACCATCACGGGCCTCGGCCTTGGCGATCAAAACACACCCAGGCTCTGCAATAAACGAAAGGCTCACCAGGTGGGGGTGTTCCTCTGCGCAAGGTCTCGGGGCTCCACCAGAACCCTTCCCTCTCCCCCCAGCGCACCCCACTAGTCTTCCGCTGCCTGGTGGTACAGATCGTGTGGAGTAGGTGGCTCACGTCACGGGGAATAAGGTCACGGCTCTTTACCCGACACTCGCCGGCAGAGGCGGCGCCCACTGCCTCACACGAGGGTCACTACCCCACGGAAGGTGGCAGGGGACCCCGGCGAGGCCCTCCCCGCACGGGGCCCCGGTGCCCGGCTCTCCAGGGATGAGAGGAAAGGCCCCTTCTTCCCGTCTTCCCTCTCCACCCCCCTGCCCGGAATCCCCCAGCCCGTGGTCGGCAATGGCCCCGTCCCCAGGTCTCTGCCGCACAACCCCGTGCGTCTCCTGTAACCTTTCGTCACTCAGTGCGGTCAGCTCCTCTGGAGAACCCTTCCCCCTTTGTGGCCGATGTGACCCCATCGCTGGGATGAGTCACCTTTGTCTGGAAACCAATGTTCCTGCTCTTAGGCTGTTGTACCTGTGTCCCAGACTCGGTCCTTGTCCTCGCGGGCTCCCGCCTTCCCTCCCACTCACGTCCTGACAGTCTGAAGGGACAGCCCCCTGGAGCCCCGCGGCCACTCCTCACCCTGCTGGCGTCAGTGGAAGGTCTGGGGGCGGGGACCTGACCTTTGCAGTTGTGATGAAACCCGTACCAGCGGCGCCAGCCAGCGGCCAGGCATTGCTGGAAAAGGTCAGCAATGCAGGCCAGCCCCCTGTTCCCCTCCGCGGGCACTGCCTTGCGGCCTGCGAGCCTTGCACGCACCAGGCCCCAGAGCCCCGAGGGTGCCCAGGGGCATAAACAGGCCCCAGCAACAGACCGTCCCCGAGGGGGCCCTCCGAGCCTCCCATCCCTGCTCCACCCTGGGGCATCATCTCTCACCGCCCCGCGCCCCCAGGCTGCTGGCTCTACGGGCTCCCACCCGCACGGCCTGTAGCTGCCCCTGCAGCCTGCTCTGGCCTCTTAAGTCTGGAAGGGTGGTTCCTGTCCTCATACGAGGGTGATGTCGCCCCCCCCCCAGGAAGGCGTTTGACAACACCTGCAGACGTTTCTGGTTGTCACCGTGGTGTGGGCGCCTGTGTGCGAGTCTCTTGTTTTACTAGTGCTACTGGCCTCCAGTTGGGCAGGGACCTGCCTCCCACCCTTGTGCTAAGCCTGTGGCAACGCCCAGGACAGCCCCCTGGGAGGGAGAAGGACCCCGGGCCACGATCCGATAGTGTGAGACACAGAAGCCCTGTTCTGGGACGCCCCCGGTTCCTCCACCGCTGCCCCCCATCAGTGGCCGGGGACACGGCCCAGCCCCCGCCCTCCACGGAGCCTTCCCCGCTCCGGACAGGCCTCGGCGGCTCTGTCCCGGCCTGCACTCTTTCCGCTGCCAGGCAGGCTGCATTGCCCTCGCTCCTGCGCGTCTCCGAACCTGACACACGCACGTCGGGCGCCGGGATGACGCGGGTCCCCGGAAGGGGAAGGCAGCAGGCCCGCTCTGCGCCCCTGGACGCCACCTGGAGCACCCCTCCTCTGGAGCACCCCTCCCCGGGGTGCACGAGCAGGCTGAGAGCCAATGCTTATGCGTGAGCCGACCCAGGGCCCACCAGAAAGACCGCGGAGGCCAATCTAAGCAAAGGGCGGTGATGACCCATATAATCACACCGAGTCCTCAGCACTGTCCCAGGCACACGCTAGAGACAAGGACAGAGTCTAGGGCATGGGCACAACAGCCTGACAGCAGGAAAGCAGGCCTCAGAGGAAGATGGCTGTCACACAAGGGACACTCTCGGCCACATGCATACACCTGAATAGAGATCTATGACGTTATCTGGTAATAATAACAACACCAAGGTAGTGACACTACTCCGTGCTATGCGTACCAGCCCCCTTCCCACCTTTTACCGTCACTCAGGGATGCCATGATGGACTCAGAGAGAGAGAGAGAAACATTTATGTGAGAGGCAGACATCGCTGTGGGAAAGGCTGCCTCCCATCCACGCCTGACTGGGGATCGGACCCGCAGCCCAGGCACACGCCCTGAGCAGGAATCGAACCTGCAACTTTTTGGTGTAAGGGGCGACAGACACTCCAACAAAGGAAAGCACCTGGCCCCAGCCTTGTAGGGATTTTCCCAGAGAGCTGGCAACCACCTCGGAGTCCGTCTTAACAAATCTACCTTACGGATGGGGGAACCGAGCCCCAGGGCGGTCCAGAGAGAGATTCCCCCGGGGTGCAGGGGGGGTGGGTTCGGGGGGGGGCACACACCCGGTACGGCTCCAGCTGACGCCGTGTTCATGCTCTTAACCCACACACGACGCGACGACGAAGTGGGTTTAGAACTCTCTCAAGGGTTCCGCTGGCACCCTTCCCCAGAAGAGGACGGAAACCGTGACTCAGTAACACACACCCTTTCCAGTTTTCGGCATCGCGTCCGTTTTCAAACGGGGTCCGCGGGAGGAAGCCGAGCCCGGTCCTTCCCCTAATAAAAAACGCAAACCCAGATGGGTCGGGCCGAGCGGTGACGTACGCACAGCGAGAACTGTGTTAAGAATTAAAAGAGACACAAATAGATAAATAGGTAGGGGAGACTGACGCAGGGACCGAGGCGTTGGGAGGGGTTCTTCGTCCCTCCCGAGAGCATTCCTGCAGGGCGCCCCCAAGCCTGGAGCTGCTCTCCTCTGCACCCCCCAAACGGGCGGATGGTCCCCAAAGTCCCGTTCTAACACCTGCATTTCACAAGAGCGCACAAACAGACCTCCTCGTCCCAGTCAAACCCACAGGATGCTAATTTATGGGGGCGACCGTGGGAGGACGGGTAGAGGTTCACGCGCCTGCGCACAGAATCGATCCCTTACCGTTCCCGAGCCCAGAGGCCGCCGCGTCCGCCGCGCAGGTACGGCACCGGGAGCTCCGTCCCCTGCAGGGGACCAGGACGCCGAATGAGAAGAGAAACTCGGGCTACGTCTTTATAAAGACAGCTGAGCGTGAGTCACTGGCGGGGGCTGCCCCCCACCAGACCAGAAGCGGAAGCGCATGTCGGACTGCGCCGCGGGGAGTGCGGGGTTCACCACGTGACTTCCACGCAGCCCCCACAAAGCCGCCTGGGGGAGGAGCGGGGAGGAGCGTGGTCGCGGCCCTGTCGTGGCCGGACTCATGCCACCTCAGTGTCTGCGAGGACTGTGCACCCGCAGGGTCTGTCTGGAAGCCAACGGTGGGCCGCTCCTTGGTACGCGCCACTTCCTTGTGTCTGCAAAGCCGGATGTGCTGGCAACTTCCGGTGCACAGGGGCTCCTGGACCTCCCCACTTCCGGTGCCAGGGCGCAGGGTGTGGCGGGAGGGGGGGAAGGGCAGTGGCTGCGGGGACGTGCAGATAACAATAACGAGGGGAGGGAGGCCAGGGTGCCAGGGTGGAGTTGGACGAAGTAAACCAAACCGGGCAGGTGAAATATGTCCACGCAGACACGCGCGTCAGCAGAAAAGGCAGGCGAAGCAAACCGCGGCCTCGTCTCTGGGGGCTGACGCCCTACCCGCTCACTGTTTTGTTTTGAGAGGAATGGCTGCGCTCACCACACCCCTCCGCGTTCTGCCCGAGAGGCGGTAATTACATGTCACTTGTCGGTGCACCCAGATATGCGGAGCATCCCTTTGCATTCTGCGGCCTAAACCATGCACACGTTCACATTGGCTATATACTTCCAGGTGCTTATCTAAAAACAAAAAAGGGG